GCTGCCTGTGCCTGGGGCTAAGCAGGCTGAATGAGGAGAAAGTTAGGGTGGAAGAGTGGGAGCATGTGGTGGGCTGGGAGGTGCACCTGCAGCACTGGGGCATCTGGACGGTTGGGGTAGGCGAAGGAGACATCTTGGAACTGAACAAGGCCCTCCAAGTCCGAAGGAGTCAACACACCACTGGCTGGGCAGCAAGGGATCCGATCCAGGTACTCAAATATTTTCTCTGAGGAGCCCACAGCCTTCTGCACCCTGGGGTAGGTGGAAAGCAGTACCTGGACGGGAGGAATGGATAGTGAGCTCGGGAGGGGCGCCTAATCTGCTTGCCAGGTCATGTGACATGAGAAAGGTAAAGAATGGAAGGAAAATGACAGGGATGGTGACAGGATGGGGAAAGGAGGAGTGAAACTGGCAGGAACTCACCTGAACAGCTGTGGTGAACTGGATCTGGTAGAGAACAAACATGACAAGGTTCCCACTGCTCACAGCCCCACTGGTCACCAGCTTCCCGCCGGTGTATAGGATTCCCACCTTCAGCAGCATCCCCGAGATCTGTGGAGAGACCACAGAGAAAAGGAATCGTGGTAGAAATCTAACAGGGTACAGAGAACCAGAATCCTTAGCATTGAGGAGATATAAAGTCCCTTTCCCCCTGTAACAGCAGGAGGCTCAATAAGTAAAAAGAATGAACCACGAGGCCCATGGAGTCTTACTCAATGACACATGTGGAGGTCATCACATCACATCACCATTATCACCTTGTTGGGGAGCAATTTGCTCTTCACAAAAGGCTTTCATGAATGTAAAGTAATCTAGCATTCATATCAAGAGCCCTACAAACAAGGTTATATCACTCCCATTTTTCAAAATGAGGAAACCATGTCAGAGAAGGAGTGTTACTAGGCCATGGTCACAGAGTTAGTAAATGGCATCACCAAGCCAGGAACTTGTGATTGCTGGTCTAGTTCTCTTTCAAGTACATCATAGATGCCCTGCCCCCTATACTTGGTTTCTGCACTCTCATGACTCTCACTAGCACACCCACACAGTCCCAGCATGAGGCGGGCTCACTGCACATGCCCTGAGAAGAGAAGGAAGGTCCTGGGACTGGAAGACATGGCATCTTCCTAAAAGGAGAATTGGATTGGGTAGGTTTGTGTACTGCAGTGAAAGGAAGCCATCTAGCCTAAAAAGAGGGAGCCCTGAGTAGGGTGACTGAGCCTCAGAGTGAGAGGATGAGAACACTGAACCAAGCATTGTCCAGTGGGGGAGGAGTGTGGAGCAGGGTCAAGGGGAAGAGGCTGGAGCCAAGGCACCTCGGGGACAAGGGAATGGGCATTCATCTCCGGGTGCTCACACTGGAAGTCCAGAGGTCGACTGCATAGGCCACGGCCTCCTTCTGGTTGAGTATATTCATTTCCTGCTGTTTCTGCCTGAACTTCTGGGCCTCACCCTCCTCATTGGCAAAGCTCCGGACTGTAGGCATGGCTGATAAAACCTCAATGGCCACCTGGCTGGACTTTGCCAGAGATTCCTGCACCTTTGCTGCCAGCACCTGTGGAGACATAGACAAGAGATGTCACACAGGGTTGGCAAACCATAGGGATACTTGTGCCTAAGTAACCTGGTTGGAGATTAAAGGTGAGAAGAGGCAGAGGGACAGGGGAGAAGAGAAAGGGACACAGCTCTACCCTCTGGAAAGAGATCCAGAGAAGAAAATTACTTGGGAGGGTGGTAGGGGATCATAGTCTTGAGATTGGTGATCATAACCTTAAAGATAGATTGTGGGCAGGAGTTAGAAGAGTAGATACAGAGAATGTGAAGATCAGCACTCCCACTGAGTCTGGGAACACGGACTACAGGGCAGGGAGTCCATGAAAATGGAGAACCATGGAGGTACCAGGAAGAAAGCCGAGAGAAACTGAGTCTACCAAGGTAGGAGATGAGCATCTGTGTAGGTTGAGGTAACTCCCTGGACATACCTGGCGCCATTTCCCCAGCTTCTTAGGCAGGAGGAAAAGCAGAGGCAGGGCGACCAGGGTGACCAGGGTGAGGGACGGTGACCCCCAGAGCATGAGCCCCAAGAGACACAGCCCCCGCACCAGGTACCACAGCAACAGGCTCAGCTGCTCACTCACGGACTCACTCAGGGTGGCCGTGTCTTCTGTTACCCGGGATGTGATGGCACCTGCGGAGGTTGGGGAAGAGAAAGTGGAGTGAGGGTCTCAGAGGGATGGGAGGGACTAGCAGTGGCCTGGGTGCCAGAGGGAGGGGTGTCAACGTGGTGTTCTAAGGATGTTGGGGAAATGAGGGGAGGGATACAGGGAAGTTCTGGGATCTCAATGCAGGGAGAAGGTGTTAGAACAGCAAAGTCTGGCCAAAAGCCTTCATTTTAACTACAATAAATTGACACCCATGTAAACTGGCACTTCTCTGGCAGACTTCTGTTCCGTAAAGTTCTTGTATACCCCATGCCGCACACATGGGCAGGACAGCCTATGCTGGGCGTGTAACAGAGCTGGAGAAAAAGGCAGGGTCATGCTGAAAGCGGTCCAGGAGACTGTGATGTCAATGGCTTCTAGCATGTGAACTGAGTAAGACCACATGGGCCTCTGGTTCTCTCTTCCTTGCTCCGTATTGAGCCTCCTGTTTTACTAGCAGGAAAGAGACTTCATTTCTCCTTCATGCTAAGGATTCTGGTTCCGGCGCCCCGTTAGGTTTCTGCCAAGCACTGGACTGGAAGTCCGGAGATGGGTTCTGTCCCCACGTTCATCACTATCTACATGTGACCACGCGTGTGTCAGCATGTAGGGCCTCGGCCTCACTTTCCTTCTCTGTAAAATGAGACACTTGGACTCTGTGATCTCACAATTTCCAGGTTTGCAATTCTCCCTAAACACACAGGTGGGGATAAATTTATGTTAAAACCTGGGGTGGAAAACTAGGTTTTTCTGAAGGTGAGTGCAATATTTAGCTCTGGGGGTATACCAAGAATACGAAATGCCCATGTCTGTGTGAGAGAGGACCAAGGTTATAAGTAAAGGGGGCGAGGGGGATACTCAGCAGGTGGATAAATAATGAAGGAGTTTCAGGAGAAACCTGTTTGGTTCTGTTGGAAAAACTCTGTTTCCTGGCGCAGGACAGCCCGGAGCACCTGGCCCTGCAGGCGGCTGTGCACGCGGCCCATGGTGCTGTTGTAGATGCCGTCGCCCATGAACTCCAGCATTGCACTAGAGAGAGGAGGGTGTGCTCAGGGGGCAGAGAGGAGGTCCCCGCAGAAGTGCACTTCAGAGGGCACCCCAACTGCCAATCCCTCCTTTTCAGCCCCCCCCCCTCAGCCTTCCACCGGGGGCCGCAGACCTGGCTATGGTGAGGATGGACATGAGCGCTATGTTCCGAGTGAAGGCAGTGGCCGTTCCGTCTTGTAGGATCCAGTCGGTGAGGCGGCCGGTGAAGAATGGAATGGCCATCTCACCTGGGGAAAAGCGAGAGGCGTCGGCCACAAGTATCTAGTCTAAGCCGGGCAGCCTGCTCCGCCTCGCCAACACCCTGCAGGGCCGGGCAGAACTGCCCTGGAACTCAGCCCTGCGGCCCCACAGGGCTCTTGGGAGTTGAATTGGGAGGCAGCCTAGAGGTGATGGAGTAAGATGCCCGGGCGCGGGAAGGGGGGCAGTGCCTGGAGGGGCACTCCTGTCCTGACTCCGGACTCCCACCCAGTCCGGGGTGGTCTCCTCAAGACCCGCGCTGGGTCGCCTTCCCCTGATCCCCATCCCCGGAACTCACTAACCGACCACCATGCCTCTGGACTCCCACCCAGTCCCCTAGCGTCAGCCCCTCTCCCCCGAACCCCTTACCGAGACAGGAGAGGATCAGCAGGCCCAGAACGAGCGGGAGGCGGCGGATCTCTGAGCCCAG